CTTACTTTACATGTAAATTTTAATGAAAGATACAGCACTTTAAAAATCAGACGTCCATCAGCAGTGCTATTAGCCTGCCTTTTACAAAGCATGTGTCCTGTTTTGCTATCTCTGCACCTCTGCACAACACTGAATGCCTCAAATGAAGAAAACAGGGGAAGGGAAAAAGAAGGGCTTTCAATGATATCAATTAAATACTCTCTTAGGGTAGAGTGAAACTTGAGCCTCACTGAAAACAGAAGACTACAATGCAGCCTAAGATGACAGTATTTTAGCTCCTGTTTACACACAAGGAAACCACAATGCCTTTAACTGTCACAGGAATCATTCTTCTTAATGCAAACAAAAGCCAGCGAAGAATCAGCTGTTTATTCACACTTCAGGAAGACACCGTTTTAAAATAAGATAGAAAGAAAACATACAAGGAAAAAATAGTTACCTATAAACTAAAAAATACTTAACACATTATTAAATATCTTATGCATATTACGTTATTTGTAAACACACATGCTCACATGCACAAACAGAAAATAATTTACCAGAAATATCCTATTTAATGTCTCATATGTTTGCCTTCATAAATATATAACAAAGAGGTATAAAAAGAAGAATAAGACATCTATTCCTTTGCATTAGCTGATATTGAACATTTAAGTGACCTCATTCCCCAATGTTCTGAAAATGTCATCACCTCTGGAATAAAAAGAAATAGGACGAATGCCTTCCAGAAATGTCCCCCAATATTCATCAATTATAAATCATCACAAATTAGACTTCTATGAATTACATTAAAATATTTTTTTCTTCCCTAAATAAAATAAGAAGCCAGCATCAAAAATCTACTTACAAAAACATTTCAGAAGAATGACATCTTCATTCAAGGGGTCTTGATTTTATCAAAAGGTTTTGCAGATTAAGTATTTGCTAACCATAAAATAAAATGTTTGATTTTTCTAAACAGTCATTAAGAGTAAAGTTAAAACTAAAAGTCTCCATCCTTACAAGAATGCAGGATTTTTTTCCCACCAAAGGAAAACAAATCCACTACCATGCATATTTTGGAGTCCTTTCCTTAATACTTTTAAGTGTAGAAAACAAAAGCATACAATATTCACATTTAAAACCCAAATACTAAGATACTTTACAGGGCAAAGCAGAGCTTAAAAACCACTGCCAAGGTTGGCAAGATGAACGTAGTGTTGTTTTTCCCCTTGTATAATTAGACATTTATAGAGCACAAATGATTGAATTTGTTAGTGATGCTTGACTTCAACATTTGCATAAACTCTTGGCCATTCAGATGGACTTATTCACATAGAACCATAGAACCATTTAGGTTGTAAAAGACCTTTAAGGTCATTGAGTCCAGCCATTAACCCACCACTGCCAAGTCTACCACTAAACTGTGTCCATGAGCACCACATCTACATGTCTTTTGAACTTCTCCAGGACTGGTGAGTCAAACACTTCCCTGGGCAGCCTGTTCCAATGTTGACAACCCTTTCCATAAAGAAACTTTTCCTAATATCCAGTCTAAACATCCTCTGGTGCAACCTGAGGCTATTTCCCCTTGTTCTACCACTTGTTACCTGGGAGAAGAGTCTGACTACCAGTTTGCTACAACCTCCTTTCAGGTAGTTGTAGAGAGTGATAAGGTCTCCCTTGAGCCTCCTTTTCTCCAGGCTAAGCAACCCCAGCTCTCTCAGACACTCCTCCTAAGATCTGTGCTCCAGACCCCTCACCAGCTTTGTTACCCTTTTCTGGAAACACTCCAGCACCTCAATGTCTTTCTTGTAGTGGGAGGCCCAGACCTGGACACAGTACTTTTGGTGCAGCCTCACCAGTGCCGAGTACAGAGGCATGATCCTTTCCCTAGTCCAGTTGGCCACACTATTTCTGAAGCAAGTCAATACATATCCTAATGGTATTACTGGTGAAAAAGAACCTGAAATTATTTTCCAGATCAGTAAGGTCCAGTCATTTCCTTCTATTCAAGCTCACAAATGCTATTTCATTTTTTCTGTGCCATTACCTTCAGATCAATATTATTGAACAATTTCAAAAAATAAGAACCTCACACTGTTCTCTGAGAGCAACGCTAAACCTTCCAAGACTTAAAAAACCTACTTGGGTTAAGAGCAGTTAGGACCAAGGGAGATAATCTGACCTTGTAAGGCTGATTATTACAAAGGGACATATGCAGTAGCCTTTGTTCTACACAACATGCACTTAAAAATGTCCCACCCCTAAAATATGTGAGTAGTCTTTCATTTCTCTCTGAGAATGAAGAAAAGACCTTCTTCATACTGAAAATGAGTGTGCCACTGTACTGTTTCTCACACCAAGCACAGCTACTGATACAAGGAAGGACCCACATGCCTTAGAGGAGAATCAGCAATCTGTAGACTGCATGGCTGCTGCAGAGGTGTCCTGTGCACATCCAGAAACCAGCCATACCTCACTGTCATTCTCTATATCAAAGAAAACATTTAGGACTTTTCAGTTCTTTGGGTTCTTGGCTCACTGGATTCAATGTGAACTTTGCTACTGCCTTCAAGAAGACAAAGGATTTCATTCACCGAAAAGAGCAAATTCCCATTAGGAATACTGACAATTTTAAACAGGGACATGAATCTCAAAAAAAGTCAGATCCAAACCAAGAGCGATGGTAAAACAAAACCGACTGCATACATAAGACAATGGTGAAAGGTAGCAAAAAGGCAAATAATCATTTCCTTAACAAAGGTTTACAAGAGAACAAATTATATGGAAGAACATGACTACATAATAACTCTCGTACAACTGCAAATTAAAGTTGGATATTTATGATTTCCTTTGGTATCATTTACTTGTAGGGGAGTGTTAGGGAAATAAACTTAATATAATTCTTCCTTAAGTGTCAATACCTCTCCAGAAGATAAGCTGTATTCAGCAATTCTAATGCCAAACTAAATAGAAGTCCTCCCTGCTCATCACACATTTACCTCACCTCCACAACCAGTTCTATACATCAAATAAAAACACAAACAATGCATATACGCTCAGTTTCTTAAAATGCAAGGGGTACCCAGGTGTTCTTCCATATCTCAACTACTCCAGCCGTTACCCCAGTACACCTACACTGCATCTTATTGAACTTTCCAGGAACTTATTTAAAAAATTAAAATCTCCTGGACATATTAAAAATTATAGATGCAGAAGAAGTCTCTTTACTACAGTGAAAACAACTAACAAAACACTTGTTTCAAATTATGAAGGCAAGGTCACATACTACTATATGTTGTGAAGAGATTTTATGAAATCAAATACATCATATCCAAAATTAAATCAAATGCATCACATCCTTTGGCTCCATATGTGGCATGAGACAGAGTTGTTGCCAGTTTTTACTAAAAACTACAAGAATGTCAAAAAAATATGAACCTTCCATGCAATCATTAAGAGGTCTGGTACCACCTTCTCTATGAGCTGAAGGCCATGCGTGGGTTCAAAATTACAGTTTGAGCCCTCTGAAAGCAATGTCATTTTTCACACAGAGTGATGGTTCTCTGATGAAGTCACTCAGTATAACTGGAGTAAAAAACTACACATAGCTGGGAAGTGAAATGATATTTTCACTCAGTGGCACAATAAATTAAGTTTCAGTACATATGACTTAATTGTGGACTATATATTATAATCCTCATGCCTGCCAGCTCTCAGTTAGGAGTTTTGCCTTGGAAAAGACTTCTAGCTTAGTCCTACACAGGCTGGCCCGCAGCACAAATGCCACCCAAGAAATGCAGGGAGTAACATGAGCTAAGGCTACACTATACAAGGACTTGACCTGATCTACAAGGACCCTTAAATCACACTTAGCCATACATCAGCTAACTGAATTATAATAACTGTGTTGAGGTACAATAACATTTTGTATGATGTGCTTAGAACCATTAGGTTCTCGTATTTTTTACGGTGTATATATGTGATTATTATGTTCTGATGTTCACCTCTTGCTAAGAAGACAGCTCTGAATACCTCCCAATTTCATAGTTGCACAATTGGTCATTTCATTCTCCAATATCTTATTAGCATGGACACAACCAGCATCCTCCAACATGTTCAAACCATGCTGATCAAAAGATCAATTCTTTAGCAGTGTATTTGTTGAGTAAGCCTCAGCATAACAAAACCTTTTAATCTTTCTATCTCATTGGAAAAAAAGGACCAAAAAAAAAAGATTTTTCTCAAGCCATGCTTATAATTTATCAATTAATTTTCAACACTCCTTCCACTCGAACTGAAGACCCACAGCAGGTTTGAAGCATTTTGCCTTTTTGACAGTTTGATTAGGGATGGATGACTGCCCTCTGCATGCCTAAGATAGGTGTGAAGTGCTGAAGAGCAAGTTCAAGCCCCAGAACAGCCTTGCATGCCCTGTGCTGTACTGAGCTGCAAAGGAAATGCACCTGTCTGCTTAGCAGTGCTGATCACTTCTGTTTCCTCTGCAGCTTTCTGGAACTCAATTTCTCTTTGAAAAACACCTTTGCACTAACAGAAAGGATGGGAAGCAGAGCTAGGGAGAGAAATGATAGTTCACAAGATCTCCATTGTTGAAGGGTGGTGGACAAGCCCAGGTTCCGCTTCCACCAATACCAGTACAAAATTAGCAGTAGTGGCATCACTCCAGTGCAAGAGTCAGCATTATCAGCTTACTGGCCTCTGGCTCTGTCTTTGACTGAACAGACAGTCCCTTTGCATCCCAGCATCACCAGCTACAGACAGCCTGACACTGACCCACCCATACTTAGTATTAACAGGAAGAAAATAACATCTCTTAAGAAGGCCTCAAAGCATTCATCTTAATAAATATTTCCTCCATAATCCAATACAAAAGACTGCTAAGAGACTTAAAAATAAAAGCATTAATTTCCAATATGAAACACATTCATAGAAATACAATTTGTCCATTGAAAAACATTGTACAAGCAATGAAGTCTTAGAAAGAATGCAATCTCTACCTTTACTTCTACCTACAGATAGGAAGATGGCGTCCAGTTAAGAGGAGGAACGAGAGGGGCATCCATCATGAAGAAGGTAAAAGAGAAGAGAAGGAGAAAGCATTAAAAAAATCAGAAAAATATGTCACTGGCCATACTTAGAAAAACAAGGAAATGCACATATTTATGTAGCAGCCAAACCCAACAAAACACTATGTCAAGGGAAAAACAGCAGACACACCACAGCTAAAGCACAAAGCAAAGCTTAAACCACCAACAATACAACCAGCAATGGCTTGGTTAAGCCCTTTGGCTTTGATTTTCTACTGAGAAATGCAAACTGCTCATGCAATAGCACGAGCCAGTGATATGCCTCAGTCCATGTCAAATTCAAAACAGCAAGGGAAACAACAGAATAGGACAGACAAAAAATAAATCTCATGGTTATATATTTGCTAAACACATCTCACCTACCAGAGCAAATATATTTGTATATAATGTTGACATTGCATATTTACTCACACATATATATTTACATATTTTATATCTATCATATTTTTACAGAGAGTAAATATTTATCAAAAGGCAGTATCTGTGAGTTTGTTACCAAGAAAAGAGAAGCCACTGTTCCCTGATGTGTCATGGATAAACAAGGGTGGCTAAAGTTGCCAAAATCCAGTAATTTTCACATTTTTTTCCCAGACAAGGGAGTATAGAAAGTGCTGATAATCATACAGGCCTGGATAGGTCATGCAAGTCTTCATGAGCCAGCTGGGTTGCAACTTTTAATTTAAATGGCCAAGTGCAACTATTCATATAATCCAGTGCTAAATCACAGACTACTATAAAGAAATGTTCAGTGTACCCTTCCTGTTTCAGCAGTGCTGCTAACTCCTGTGTACCCATGTCAGCACTGGCACTGTCAGAGGAAAACAGAATCACACCTGTCCTCACTTCACCTGTCCTCACCAGCTTCTTACTCCACACCCTCGTAGTAAAAAATGGGACTAATGATCCCATCACGTCACCACCAATAGATCTGTAACTCAGGGCAAGCCGAGATATTAAAATGTGATCTCTGATCTGGGCCTAGATTCCATTTGTAGCCCAATCTGGGTTAGCCCTGTTGTTCTTCTAAACCATTTTGTTCTGTGTATATTTGAGTATTTTAAATTGCAGACACAGGACAACCGGCCATTATGTGCAATTTTCCTCAGGATTCATAATGAGTTAGGATCATGCCATGAGGGCTATTAACATACCTTTTGTAATAATTGCACTCCTAAAAATGAAGACCAACATTGAGGTCTACATTTAGTGGGCAGAAGTGGGAGTCATTACAGCTGGCACAAGAAGAAATAAATGGCAAGATAAAATAATTGGTGGGCTGCATGGAAGGGGGAAGCATACCTCTTTTCTGTCCCTGGAATCATTTCATGCTCCCTCCTGGGCCCCTGAGTCCCAGGCTGATCAGTAGCCTTGGCTCATGGGACAAAGAAGCTTGACTGGCACTCAGTAGGCTTAATAGTTTTTTTTACGCAAAGCCCAGCTCAGAAAAGTAGCAGAGACAAAGCTCTTTCATGATCAGTGACTGAAACAAAGAGAAAGTCAAAGGACTTACCTTGTTCACTCATCATCAGGTGTGAGAGGCCTTTGAGAGAGAGAGAGAGAGAGAGAGGAAGTAAGAGAAAACTGAAAAAGAAGCAGCAATATCCATGCACACTGGTTGCAGTCCAATACTTGTCAGGATTGGAGCTCACATACTTGAATTAGATCAAGTATGGGTGTAGCACACAGGACACAAACATTTACAGGTGCTGCTTTCCACACTGAACAGAAAAGTATCTGTTGCAGGCAGAAAAAACCCACTGGTCATTGCAGAACTGTGTTTGAGGTTCAGCATATCCCTTCGAGGGTGACTCCAGAGGCACTGCACACCAGTACAGCTAAATGGGCTACAAAAGCCAAGGTCTGCAATGAGAGTCTGCAGGGAGCATTTGCTCCTCTGAATAGATACAGAAATAACTTCTCCTCAGCTGAAGACTTTAAATTCAAGGCTGTACTGGTCAGTAAAAGGGAGGCCATGATCACACCACATCTGCTTCAGATGAAACATCTTGGCTAAATGCATACACATCCTCATACTTGAATGTGTGGCTTCATCATGTATTTTCAGGAGTCTGTCAAGATTGCTCACACTTACTAATTAGATACCAGTACACCAGACATAGTAAGGACAAAAAAATTACCAATGACCTGTTTAAATACACCTCCATTCCCTTTCTGGGAAGATCTGCAGATTCATTTTCCTAGGGCAGCGTGTTACTTTATGGTTCTATAGCTAAAGCTACTCTTTGGTTTCACAATTGAAGGTAAAGCCTTCTAGAAAGCAGCACGGCTCCCCTCAGCAGTGACACTATCAGCTCTGTAGATAAGGTTATAGTGTTTACTTGGGCTGCTCCAGTCTTTTGGTTTGATAATTCTTTCTGGTACAAACCTTGTTTGTTTTGATTAAAATCCATTTCTAGGCCCAATTTTCAAATATGTTTACTGTACATTTTTTTTTATACAAACATTATTTAGGTACTATTGTATATATATATTCATGCCTAAGCCATTAAGCATTAAGTGACCCATTAGTCAATTTTGTGACACAAAATATCACAGACCTAACATAACAAAAGTCAAGTCCTTCCCATTCAAGCCAAAAGTGATCCCTTTTGTAGTTGGTTCCCTGACCAACTTCCTTGAGCGTGATTACTTCTCCATATCCCCTGTCTCTCATAGCACTTAGTATGGCAGGGGTTTTGATACATGCACACACACCACACACACCCCATATCTTAAGCCAGTTTTTTAATCAAACAGGGTTGTGACTTTTTAATTTCACAGAGGCTGAGAGGTCAAATGAATTTATTAGAATGAGAATTTTCAACAAGCAGCATGCTGAGTTTGAATTTGTTTATTTCTCTTTCTTTTATATTTTTCCTTTGCGTTGGCTGAAGAAATCTAAAACCCAGATCATCCTAAGAATATGTTCACCCACAGAGAACTCCAAGCCAGATAAGGGGATTAATAATTGTAAAGTCTGAGGAATGCAAATATCTTAATGTTCTTGAAGATTATTGTGGATTTAGAAAAATAATCAGAAACACAACATAGGTTTAGATTTTTTTAGCTCTTTTAGCTATAAATAAACGTAGCAGATTTGATACTGTAGGACATTCCTGGTTTAATTCAGAAGATATAATTCAGTGAATTTGTGTCTCTATTTATGGCAACCAATCCCATCATTCTTGATAGGCAAATCTTAGGTCTGACCAAATGGACACTTGAAAGTCACTGTAAAAGGCAAGAAGACAAAAGTATAATTGTTAGGACCTACAACACACAGAGACCCTGTAGCAATGGCATAAAAAGAGAAAAGGCTAGAAGGTGTCACTATGACATGCAGCTGAAGCTGGTTGAACAGGGAGAGGACATCAGATTTAAAGCAGAGATAGTGGTCCTAGCCCTTGTACACCGTGGGAAAGGAAAGTCATGCCTAAGAGGCCCAGTACCAACAGATGCAGCTGCTGGAGATGGCAGGAGTTTTGTCCACTTGAACAGGGACAAAGAGAACCCTCCAGAGAAGGTTCAAAGCAAGAGTCTGCATTAAACACACTGAAACACACCATAGGAAGATCCCTTCTCTCTCCACCAGCCCCAGAGGAGCTATAAAAAACCCTCAAAATGTCAGGAATGTCACACCCCCTTTTGTCCTTTATCCCCAGAAGGCCAGTGCTGTGTGCCCTATCTGTCAGGCATATCAGCCAGATGCAGCCCCAAGCCTTTTGCCTGCAGTTAAGGAGTGAGAGCAACCCCCAAATATACTCACTATTGTGGTCCCTGGTTTAGCCTTGGTTCAAATGCCTTCGAAGGAAAGTGTCCTTAAGAAATGTTCTGACACTTTCTGCTTCTTCATAAATTGGAAATACAACAGCACCTGTGGTATGTACCTCTTGATATTCCAGCCCCAACTGGACAATGAAAGCAGGGAGATAAATGAAAAGTAGTGCACTCCTCCTCAATGCTACTTTTTCCTTTTTAAAATATGAAGAAAAAGGAGGGTAGATTTGGAGATAGAGCAAAAAATCAATATTATATCTTAAATTGTCCATCAACACAGATCCTTATTTTAACAAAGAGAACACCAAGAGAATTCCAGATTCATTATTAGATAGAATAATAATATAACATTATGAAATAACATATCAGCTTTTCTCATCTGAAAATTTTCCTCCCTTGCAATTTAAAGTAGGAGTGAAAATGAGTGTGTTTATCTCCAACAAAATGCAATTAACCAAAACCTTCAACTACTGAGATATAAAATCTGTGACATTTGCACCATGTGTAACAAAGGCCTCAAATTAGTCAGAGTGAAATCAACGTAGAAAACATGAACTGACACACTCGTCTCACCTTTATATCAGTTTCGAGACATGACAAATGCAAGAGTTGTATGAATTGTTCAGACCTGCAAACTAGACCAGACTTTGCCAGAATAGTGGGGCTATTTGGGCATCAGTCATAAAGACCAGCAAAGTTTTCAGCAGGCTCAGGATGCTAAATGAACTTATCAGGCCCCAAAGCACATTATTTACATATTCTTTTACAACATTACCATTGTTGGTGCCAACAGCCATCCCATTTCAGAGGAATCCTATAAGAAAATCTGAGTTTCCACCTAAATCCAGGTGAAACATCCTTTCCGTTTAATCTTAGATTTGTTCAACAAGAAACCCTGATTATAACCTCAGAACTGCAAAACCAGACAGTGTAGAACCAGGAAAATGTTGACACAAATCTGCATGAACTCCAATGGTCAAGGGATTGCATGCTTCTAAATCAATCTAGTCATCCTTATAATAATTTCCTGTCTGGGCACAACTGCTGCCCAACAAAAATGGTGGGTAGCAAGTGCTCTGAAAAAGGTTTAGGAAAGCCCCAGAACAAACTACTTATCTGTCTGTAAAGAAATTTTATGTCAAAGTCAGGAATCTGGTGATTTTCTATTCATGAACTTCAAATATGTGTCACAGTAAGGACAACCCCATGGTTTCAGAAGAAGACTCTCAGCAGGTTTTTTAGATGATGATAAACATCTGCTTGTGCTCAGCCTCTGGAGCCCCAGCTTCTTCAGACATTTGGCAGTAATGTGAAGCAAAATTGGCCTGCTTCTTCAGAACACTAGTTTGTTATTAAAACAGCATGTCCATTGCTGAGGGCAGACAGACATATAAACTCTGCTCTCTGGCCGTGATTTATGCCTGCCACAACTGATTTTTCCTATTTAGGTCTGGGAGGTTTTTTAATATTTCTTTAACCTGCTACCAAATCAGTATTATTTTCTTAAAGGTTATTACTAATATCCCTTCATCTCAAAGCAATATTTCAAAGAATTACTTTTAAAAAAACATTTGTGAACCATCTGCTTTCTATATCAAAATAGTAAAATCAAGCTCTATTTGTACAAAGTATCAAAGGCCAACACTGGATTCTTACGAAGCCAGAAGGACATTTTTAAAAGTAGCTTCAGAGTTCAATGATATGAAAGAGCAATGTAGTTAAACAGCAGTCTTCATCTTTAAGGATTTGCTAGGGCGATTTCCAGTGTGGAGGAGAAAATGAGGGAAACCTTGAAGGCAGTTTGAATCCTACTTACCCCCCCATTTTGATACTTAGGACTTAAAATGGAAAATAAAAGGTGGGGATAGCACAAAACACAGCTGAGAGTGACAAGTGATTGCAGTAACAAAGGAAGATGAACTCCTTCATCTAGTTAATTACAGCCTGTCCTCTACTACTGGGCCCATGCTCTGGGGTTGTGCACGTGTGTGTGGGTGTGCATGCACTGCTCAATTGCTCCGTTAAGGCAGGCAGCTTCAGTATTTCCCTGTTAATGATGCTGCCAGATGACTAGCCCAAAAGCTCTTAATGAATGGGAAAAGAGACTGCCAGGCAGCAGCAGCAACCCAGATCTTCCCTGGGGCAAGCTTGCCCATAGAGGATCCTTTTTCTTGGTATCAAGCTCCATGACCCATTCAGACAATAACAGGGCCAGCTGCAATGTATGTCTGAGATAGGACACCAGGCCCTCTAGTCCAGTATATACACAACAATCCTTTATGGCAAAGCTGAAGAAAGAAATCATGCAAACCAGGGATTCTTCCAGAAATGAAATGACATCCACTACAGAGAAGAGCACTCCAATGAGTAATGGAGTCTGTTGTTTTCACCTCCTTTCCAAACTTCATAAAACTATCAATTCCTTAAGAAATAGGTCTTTCTTTACTCTGAGCCTCATGCTCCACTTCCATCGACAGTTCCCTTTTCTAGTTCAGGAGGAAAGCTGATAAGCACCTTGTCTTCCACGTGGTCCTTCATAAAATAGTCATCTTGAGGCTAAAACCCAAAATCCAAGGAAAATTCCCCAAGAATCCCCAGGTACCAAAAATAAAAGGGCATTCTAGCAGGGCCAAAGGATAGGACTCAGAAGAAGAAGCAAAACCCTTGTCTTGAGAGATGTAAAGAATGGATAAAGAGAAAAATCATTCTGCAGCCCCATTAAGACTTCTTACCTGTTAGACAGGTCAGCTTTGCCAAGAGGGTGACCTGATTCCTTGGTTGCTGGCATACATGGTGCCTTTTTTTTCCAAGCTGGGCAAAGAAGTAGCACAGGCTGGGGAATGGTCAGTTTTCTTTGATTCAACCACGACGTGCACAATAGCCAAGGGGCTGCTCTCAGGCCCCAGCAGTGAGGTCAGTCAGGAGTGCAGTTTTGTTATTGTGGCCGCAGGCCCACTTCCAATCCAATTACACACAGCAGCTGTGCTAGCTCCTCTTTTCCATCCCCTTTCCTTCCTCTGCTATATAATTCCAGGATAGGTTTTTTCATTATGAGGGGCAGTGAGTTAGGGTGAGTGGCATCTACTCTGAGTGATCAAAGGAATAAGAGCATGAGGCAGAGGCCAAAGAGAAAGTTGTTTGCCCCAATGTCTATGGAAGCACTTGCGATTGAACAATACTATCCCCTTTCACCCCGGGGAGAAACAGAATTCTGACATTGCATGTGGCATACTGCTAGAAGTATTCACACAGGGAGGGCTACAAACGTGATGGTGCTTGAAAGCATGAAAGCAAACATGTAAGTGCTCACATAGATGCGCACGTACAAGAGAATGCGTGCATGGAGCAAGACCTGAGGGTGAATGCATTTTATGGCTAAGAAGATTCGTATCACTGCAAATCAGAGCACCTGATCAAGGAGGTGCACAAGTTGAGGAAAGAACTGTTAGGCATGGAACACAATTCCTCAGCTTAGAAAAGACATATCAGACTATATAGTGATAGTGCAAAAATCCCAATTGAGACAGAGTTGGTGAACAGGAAATATCTTTTTCCTAGCTTGTGGGGAACACAAGGAGTAGGAGTCACTGAATTAAATTCTCAAGTAACAGGCATAAAAACAGCTGAAATAAAGTATTTTCCACATTTCAATGATTAAACAATGGGACTTGTCATCATAGGATACACTGGAGTTAAATATTTTAAATGGATTAAGAAAAACAAAGAGTGGACACATCCAGAGAATATATGTTCATCGATGACTGTAGAACACCACGAACTGGATGCAGTATCAGGTCAGCAAGTCCTTAAATTGGTAACTACCAGAAAGCACAAAAGTATCAGGACAAGACCTATTCTAACATAGTTTCTTCATCCTCCTCCAAAGCATCTACTTTCATAAAAAGACACTTCTGGGATAGAGGAATTCTTGCTCTGACCCGAGTGATCACTACTACTGCCACATTGTTGAAAATAGGTGTGTATGGAACTGAAAAGCATTCACATTTCAATGCAAAAAAATTCCAATTAGGGGACAGTACCTGTGCAAAGGGCAGGCAAGAATGAAAATAATGGTGGCACCTATGAAGAAGAGCCTAAACCTGTAAATACTGGTTTCAAATACCTGATGTATGGCACTAAAGATACAGCATAGATGGATTCCTAGTCTGATCTAGTATCCTCTGCAAATAGGAAACTTCAGATGGACTGAAACCCATCATTTTCATGCCCAGAAAGCAGAGTTTTTCTTTAAAGAAGCAGAAGCCAGCATACAGGTACTGCTTAAATGACCCTAAGATAAGGAATTAGGGAGACCAACTAGAACAGCAGCCTTGAGATGAAGAAGAAAAAGAAGCCTTTAGAGGTGGAGTTTGAAAGATTAAAGGCCTGTATCAAAAATGTGCTAGTATACTTAGTGCTTTCAAGGATCTCTGTATCTTTATGAAAGAGTTGCTCAGGCAAACAAGGACTAATTTTTCTTCAGGGAACTACCTAGGTTCTTTCTTCATTCTTTCTCCTGCATATATTCTTCCACTAAAAAAAATACCTAAGTGAGACAGGACCATATAACTTGCTCCTGGATCTACTGGTCTTTTCCCAACTATTTATCTTTCAGAATCTACACCACTGGTAAAGAATGCAAGGAGCAAAGAAAGGAGTAGATATTGTGCAGAGGTGACAGAGCTATCCATTCTAGTCTGTGCTGCATACCACTTCCCAGCCAAGGCACTTAACCTCTGTATTAAGGCTCTTAAACTCCACAGTGTTCAGCCCAAGCACTCTAAGCATGTTGTGAAGGTGAGGTGAGACTGTAGCTATAACCCCAAAGGGAAAACTGAAGTACTGAAAGGAAAAGTTATTTCTCCTCCAGATCACACAGCGAGTCAGTGACTCAGCTGAGTGCAAACAGCAACAATTCCAACTCTAGAGCACTGCTCAGATTGTGGTGGTGTTATTTTATACCTGGGTATATAACATTTCCAGGACAGGTGAGTTAACACCTGGCAAACTTCTTTCATTTGTGAAATAAGCCAGATGGGATCAAGTTGGCTCTTGAAACTAGTGTAGCACATGAGCCTCTGTTGCTACAGCACTCTTCTTCACAAGCAGAGACCTCACATCCAGGAAAGGCTCATACCACACATTTTCATTTACTTTGAACAAAACCAACTTCTTTGTACCTTACAGAAACTGCACTCAGCAGAACCCTGTGGTCCCCACTGCTGCCAGCCCCAGCCTATTCTCAGCTACCTCCTCTTACTGGGGAATTAGTTCTAACCAGTCTATTCAACAATAATGAATACTCAGTTAATCAGCGGGCTCTTTACAGCCCTTCTGCTGTCTATGGTAGTTACCACTAGCTCATAAAATCCCTAATTTGACTTTCAACAGTGGATGGTTAAAGTAACCATTTTGACAGGGGCCTGGGGCTCTGTCCTCACAACACAGATTAGCTGGAAAGCCAAATAGGTGGAAAGTCTCTGTACAGCTTGGCAGAGGAGAAGTGTAGACCCAAACTTGCTGGAGGTCTAAGTCCCTGCCCAGTCACACAGCAGTGTTAGTGTACTCTCCAAGGGTGAGCTGAGTAGAAGGATGAGACCTCACAGGCGTAAACAGTGACAGAGCCCTATAATGAGGTGTGGTTAGTTGTCAGACTGAAAACATTGGGAAGAGTGAGGGAGGACATGAAAAAGAGCATTCACATGTGACTAGAAATCCACATGAGAAAGCACACAGAAGTCCTGAGAATAAGAACATGTGTATGAGCAATGGGGAGAATAAAAAATGCACATCCAAGTATATAAATTATGAGAATAACAGGGCAGTGGGGCAGAAGAGCAGTCAGGGAGCAGAAGGATGATGCCCATACTAACAGCAGTATGGTCCTGTGGCACTAGATATGCCACCTCTGATTGGGCCCTTACGAGTGATGCTATCATGTCCTGCACACCATGACGTGTCCCTGATGTTGTTTGAGTCAACACTTGTTCTTGGCATAATATGAGTCCTACTGGTAGAGCACAGCAAGGCCATGCCTTCTCAATTCAACCATCCTCAACAGGATGTGGAATACAGAGTAAAGTGGTCTAGTTCAAGTAACCCTTGTAGCTGAAGTTGGGGGACTCTGATCCTTTCAACAATAAGACAGCAAACTGAGGAGAGTGGTATGGAGTTCTCTGTGGTAACATACATCATTGTGAAAGAACTCAAAAAATAAAAAAGCACATAAAACACACATTCTTTTTTCCTTTTAAATGAATCATTTGTGCCCTGGTGGAAATAAAATTTTGATACCTAAATAAGATCACACATTCACATTCAGCCAGAAAGACACTCACTGGTTTTTAATACTGTCAAATAAAATAACAACAAAAACCCCTTTTTTAGTGGAACTGAAACTCAACAGGTTATCAGTGGGAGTAGCAAATGGAGTAGACTGCAGTAGGAGAAAGAAAATGACTGAACTAGATTTACATGCCAGACTACACACAGATGTATCAGAAATATCCTGTATACAATGCAGTGTTCAATGCCAGGTAATTAGCAATACAAGTAACCATTTTTAATGCCATTTTCATTCAGAAAACATCCCTTTAACTGACCAGTACAGTGTAGTCTCTCAATAAGGAAGTTTGTGACCTTTGCTACTACAAAGCACTCCTTTCAGCAAAGACTGTTCAATACAGACCTCATGACATCCAGTAGGAAGAATCGTTCTGTACACTTTCAGGAAGTGGGATGAGATTTCTGCCCCAATAACCTCCCACCACCACTCCTTAAAGAGCAACCTTTCTGCTCGGCAAAAGCAACACTTACCTGGAATATGATTGACATCTGCCGAGGTGTTTTCACGGCAAGCAGAAGGGAGAAAAAGAAGAGAGAGAAAGAGAAGAGAAAAAAAGCCATTAGAGATGCACACAGAAACTCAGCATCCTTGCATGGAAATCAATTTCATGCAAAACCAGAAGTAATTAGGTTTCTTTGAAGGCCACCCATCTGCAGCCAAGCACGCCCCCATGCAAGGGAGGAGACACTGGCTCCCTCTCCGCTGTGCATGTAAAAGTGAATCCACCACCATATCTGTCCGGAGAGAGAGTTCCTGGAATCAGATAGAACCAAGCCACGTCAGTTTCTGTAAGAATATTGGTTAAAATATTCTACTGTTTTTCGCACACAAATGCAAAAGAGAGAAACAAAAAACAACTTTCCTGCAGGAGGTTTCTATAGCACATAAATTCAAGCAAGTTTTCAGAAAAATAGAAAAGAACCTGCTCCCCTTTTACAAGGGGCCATGTGAATTTATGACCAGGTGAAAGACACCCAAAGTATAGAAGAGAGACCATTCCTTTTCATTCCTCTTGCCCATCGTTCCTCAAACAACATCCTTCATTGCAGACAGCAGTAGAAGTGGGGGAGAAGGAGTATGCTAGAGGCCTGCACATCCCACATGTTGTCTTTTCACAGGTTCGTAAATCAATCACACAAATCTCAAAATAAGTAAGTCTTTAAAAAAAGGCAGAAGCAAGACTATGTAAATCATAGTACTGATCACAGAAAAGCCATATCTTTGAACGTAGTGTCTGTTTTGGGTAGTGCCCACCAATCCCAGAGAATGTACTTCTCGTAACTTTTTTAGCATCCCAAGTTTAGTCTTGCTCTGAATAGCTACACTTACCATAACACCAGGAGGGAAGAGCCAAAATCTCATGGGATTAGATTAGATTAACATGTTCCTTCCAAGGCAGCCCTCAAAAAAATTAACCAAAATAAAAACCAACACAAACAAACAAACCCCACCACCAAACAAACCAACGAAAAAAACAAACAAAAAACCCTCACAATTTGTTAGCATTCTCCCCTGGAGGCTTGTACTCTGTCCAGGAGTTGTGCTGTTAGAGGTATCACCTTTCCAGGAAGACTTCAAAGCAATACATTAATGGTTTGGACTAAAGATCCCAGAACACTTCTGCCACAAGTCTAGGAGCATGACATGCTGGGTGCACTGGCTTCACAACAAGGTCCAAGAATGTATTCTCCTACCCCAAGTGTACCCACCAATTTCCATCAGTATTCCCCCGTCCTGTCCAAACCCACTGTGTTGCTGTGAAACTGGGGCCACATATGTTCCTCAGACAATTGCATTTCAGTGGTGAGTGATATCTGTTCATGTTGCTTTTTGTTTATCACCTTCTGTTACTGTTTGCTTATCACTTTGTAATGACTCCAAAACCATCTGAGGAAAAGTCCCTTTGATACATCACATATATATCAAGCCATCCTTCCTTAAGGAGGTAACAACCTAAATAAAACAATGCACAAAGAGGGGAGGGACTATTGCATTGGCTCATTTCATTTCCATAGCTTCTACTAAACATATAGGTCAGATCTGATGAGGGTTATTCGTTGGTTTTCCTCTTTTAAGGTATAATTGTATCTAAGAACTGGTGACTTGGCATGCAAGCCTGGAAGGACACTTAGCACTGAAAGTTTACCTGAAAGTAATTACTGTTATGTAGGAAAAGAAAACAAGTGTCAGGTAGCAATGCATGCACTGAGGATGGAAAGTAAAAGGAGGTGAAAGCAGGGGCAGAAGGAAGGATCAGTAACAGTTAGAGATGATCACATATCTCAGAAGAGGTAGAAGTGAGCACCACAAGGTATTACAAATGTTTCTGATAATCTAGAAGCTGCCCAAAAACTTATTCTAAGCAATTAAAAAGCTCTAGGCTCATGTTGTCTTATGAGCCTCCCTGCACACCTGACAATGGAGCAGGTACTGCTACAGCCCGGGTTACCTCAAGGGGCCTGGAACAGCAGGCAGCCTCACCAGAGTATCTGTGCTCCAGAAGGAAATTTGTGGGATGTTTAGGGAATAAAAAGCATCAACAGATAGAAGGGGCAAAGGAAAGAGCTAACCAAGAGTGAACAAGGGATAAACACATTAAGTAAATAAGAGAAGAGGCAGTGGACTGTAACTGATACACTGCTTGAAATAATACTTATTTAACTATGTGAGAATTAAACAGGTCATGAAGCTGTTAAAGAAGGGGAACAATGAAGTGCTAAGAGCTAACATAAGCATCTCTTAAATATAGTTTCTTTTTACCTGTATTTTTACCTATATTTTTTGTTCCCATGTCCCTAAGAGCAGTCATCTCCCATCCTGACTGATTTTACTCTAAAACTTCCTTTTTGCTGTTTTGAAAGTTTTCACCAAACACAATTTCTGTATAAATTAGTTGCATCACAAAAGTCACTGTTTGCACCTCTGTGACATGTCTGCAGTATTTACCTACATGGTAGCCCGGGTCATTATTGTTAGTTTCCATATTAAATAAAAAAGGAGTTTCTTGTATTGCAGACACCCCCCCATGTGGTATCTACTGGCAAATGCTGATTTTCAAATGGTGAAACTACTTAGTTTTTGTTTTAAAACAACACAAAAAAGCACTGCTTTCTTTGTGAAGACAAAAAATAACATATAGCAAATCAACCCTACAATAAATACCACTGTGGCAGACAATGGAAACTGCCATGCAGTCACAGAATCACAGAATATTCTGAGTTGGAAGGGACCCACAGGGACCATCAAGTCCAACCCTTGACCCTACACAGGACAGTCCCAAGAATCAATTCATGAGCCTGAGAGCATTGTCCAAATGCTTCTTGAACTCTGGAATGCTTGGTGCTGTGACCACTTCTCAGGGGAACCTGTTCCAGTGCCCAACCACACTCTAGGTGAAGAACACTTTCCTAATATCCAACTTAAGTCCTCATTGGAAACACCTAACACCTCTGCAGTGTTGGTATGCCATTCCACTGTGGGGCACAATTAAAACTGTGGTTGCATATATCAACGAAAGGGACCCACCACTACGTTATGGCTGATGGCTCCACATTTAGGAGAAACTTCATGCCTCAAGAATGGTAGAAAACAGACATGGCATACAGGCAGAGTGACCAGATTTGGGGAGCTGAGTTGACTCTCCTTCAGACCCTGTCATCTGAGATGTTCTCTCAATTTTCTTCAAGATTTTCTGATTTGTTTAGAAAAGGACTTTTAATACAATGTCCTTTTTAATACAATTTCCCCACTCTCTTCCTCTTCCATCAGCAGTTTCTTCCTCTCCTCACACAGGTCTCCTCCCTGACAAAGGGACCGAGGAGGTACAGCATTCCAATTAAACAAGGAGCATGTGGAACCCTCAGCTAGCAAAAAAATCCAGTGACCATGGGACTTACTGCCGCGTAGATGACAGTTTCTCCACTTTTTTCAGCTCAGAGCAGTTCAAACACAGAAAGGTCTTCCTCTTAACAAAAGACATGGCATAGTTTGCTTTATCCTATACACGGGAGTCCATTTATTGCGCCTTTGTAAAGGGCTGAGCCGCAAGCCGGTGCTGTTTGCTTTTGTTCTTTGATGCTAATAGCTGGGTTGAAAGAGGGATCAGCAGGGCCGCTGCCTTTGTCTGGTGCAGCCTCAGCCATCTGGGTGGGGTGGACGGGAAGCAGGAGGATGAAGGCGAGCAAGAGGAACAAAGCAAACGTTTTTATAGCTCAGATCATTTTCATGCCATGTACAGGAAACATCCAAGGTATCTTTCACTCTAACCTTTTTAACAAGAAGTTTAGGCAAAGGGGGAGGCTTCAGGAGAGTGTGCTTTTCTTCTGCCGGAAGACAAGGACAGCACAGATGTTCCATGCATACCAGCCCAACAGTACAGATCACCTTGACCTGAAGAGACCTACTTTTGTTTGCATCTCTGTGGTCCATTCAGTCTTGTCCCTTGCTTTGATGTGTTGTGTATACCTGTCTTCTGCCAGCTAAACTGTGAGCCACTGACTTAATTCCCACATCACAAACAAGTTGGCAGGTGGAAGCATCCTAGGCTAAGTGGAAATAAGCACCTAGAAGTGAATGGTACTGTCTTGTGCTATAAATCCCTAAAGTTCCCTAGCATCCCCTTCCAGCATTCTCTGGTGACTCTCTCTCTGAACACAAGTGTCTGGAGAGGACTGGGGAGCAGGCAGCAACTGGGGAGAGAAGGAGGGTAAAAGTCATAACACTTAGAGGCATTTTTTGTCATAGGAGACCCACTCCCAAATAAGAGGAGATTCAGCTTTTAGACAGGAAAATTACTGCATTTTGAAGCTTATTCAGATATTGATATCTAAAAAGCTTTTCTAAAGCAGATTTGCCTCTCATTCTGCAAATACAGAAAATGGACATAGGTAAAGTTTCACTGACAGAAGCATGACTGACTGGGAACTCAGTCACTTAATTTGACTTACTGACATATATATATATATATATATACTGTTCAGGGACCATAGATTGATCCATTTATGGCAGACTGTGAAATTATTAAAAAAATATATGGTGAGCCAGCCTAGACTCCTGCCTGCAGTGTGGTAATAAGAGGTGTTGATTACTCAGAAGTTGGTGACTTCCCCTTAACTAAGCTCTGATGCAACATTTTAACAATATGAAGAGCTACATTTTGGCTCAGCTAGAAACCCCTCAAATTGCCATGAGCAAATTCTTCATTAATTTGATACTTCATCAAGCAAAGTGTTAATTCCACATGCTGATTTGCAAAGTGGTCTCATTCCATCCTTATCTGTCTGTTAAGGTAAAGGTAAACATATGGTCCTACTTCACCTCCTACAGACTCCCCTCTTTCTCTTCAGTACAAAGTGCTTCAAAGCCTTCTGGGAGGGTTATAACAACTCAAAAAAAAAAAAAAATAAAAAAAGCACACTTTGATTGTATAAACAGCTTCTAACAAAAATTTGCTTGAGTAAAGATGAGGTCTGTAATGAGATCAATTCCA